TGCATAGGTCTGCTTTAAACAGTGGGAGGAAAATATATAGGCATGGTGCAAAGGAAAGCCAAGTCTGGTGGAAAGAGTTAAAACATGGCAAGTGTGAAGTATATAGATGTTAAAGTAAGCGGTTTATGAGAGAAATATTGGGCTGACATTGCTTCTCTCTTAATGAAAATGCAAGCTGGATGGCTATAATGTTTACCTCTAGCTTCATTACTTTCTTAGTAACTGACTTGGAACACGTGTGCAGATCGGGAAAGCCAGAGGTCATAATCCACATATGTTTTCTGGGTCATTGTCTGAAAGTTTTGAAGCTAGATCATTTCAGCAAGTTAAGGTGCATTTGCAAAATGAGTTAGCAATGGCAGCCTCTGTTTCTTTCAGAAAAGGTTTCCTTTTACTATAACAGCCTGTCTCACACTAGCGTATGCTGTGTCTGGTTGTGGTGAAGGTTTTTAGTATTGATTTCCAGTAAATACTGATCTTCAACTGCCTAACAGCTACATTGCAAATGTCATAACCCAACTTACTTAGCAAGGTCCCAGGATCATTTATCTCAGTGTGCTACTCATCTTTAGGGTGGAACAAGGAATGGGCACTAGTGACTCACTGGGTACCTGAAGGTTTTTTTTTCTTTCTAGAACACAGTCCTTAGCCTTCTAAACATCTTTTACACTCTTTGCATGTCTCTCTTTCAGGGCTATACTCATTACAAACTAAACTTGAAACTTTCACCAAGGAGACACGTGTTAAGTAGTTACTTCATCTTTGTGTTTCAAGGCAGGATAGCATGGAAAGGTTATCAATCAATCCATCCATCACTCATCACCTCTCTTGTAAAGGACTGTTGTAGCTCTAGACCAAAACAGCATATCGCTTGCAGGCAGCATCTTCAATGTTTACTCCCAGGAGGGGAGCTTCCTGCAGTACTTAAATCCTTAGACCCAAAGGCCCAGGGAGAAAGATGGTTGTCATGCTGGCATCCTCATAGGACAGAAAAGAAGACCATGTGCCAGGAAGTGCCTCAACTATTTAATACATTCCTAGCCTGCTCACCAAGTCCCCTGAGCCTGCTCATTGGCTGACCATAACATATTGCCATCTCTCTAGCACACCCTGTTATATAAAAGAAGACACTACATCCCCACAGTTGTAAGTAAAACGTTTTGGCTTTTATTTGCTTTTTGTTTTTGGCACAAGGGGGGATGGAGAGTAATGTTATATCAAGTTCTGCCCTGTAGGAGAGAACAAAACCTGCCTGTGGCCTGGTGTTGCGTGTTGTGAGCACAAGCTAGTCATTTTAAACTGTGCAGCTCAGTCCTAAGCCCTCCACTGCCCACAGCTGGGACACCATTCCAAGCATACTCAGCGTGACATTATTTTTAGGTTTGTTGGAGTTCTCCTATAAAGACTTTTGCTGCATGTTGTGTCCACTCCAGGTTGGGTAGATCTCCTCTTGTTTAGGTTTTTAACAAGAATTAACACTTGATAACAAATGAATCCTTTACCATCAAAGTGCAGTTGTATCTAGTTTGTTTGGAGTTACCATTTGCATATGGACAATACTTTGTACTTCAGTTTGCTAGATTTGTAGACTACACATTAGCATTAATATCATTCTGATCTGATTGCAAATGTATTACAGCAATGGTAGATGTTTTCCATTTACCTTTTTTTTTTTAGCCATTTAGCTTAATAAAATCCGATTGCAGGTTTTTTAGCTTCTTTTGTTCTTATCGACTATTTCTGGGCTTGTTCAGTAGGGCAAAGAATGCCTGAGGTGCTCATAATATTTTTTGAGGGAACATCTGTATCACACAACTCATCACAACTATCTAAAATAAGTGCACTGGGAAATTAAAAATAGAGAAGGAATCTGATTGTATGCTATGTTGTTTTCTCAGTTGTATCGATCCAAACAGGAAGTAAGGGGAAATCTCCCCAATAGGGACACAGAGTGCAATACATTTGGACAGAGACTTGAATCCTTGCCTGCTCTATTAAAAACTGGATTACAATTTTTGGCTGCTGTGTGGCTTTAAAGTGAGCACATATTTTGAATTATGATTGCAAAGTTTTCTTTGAACTAATGGTTTACGCACTTTTTACAGTTTTCATATGATTATTGTACTATGTTTCAATATTTTTGCTACATGTACAGGTGGTTAAAAAAAATCTACCCCTAATATCTGTATTTTAGTACAATAATTTAGCCTTCCTGATGAACAACTGCAGAGATAAAATGGCAGCCACATTTTATTTATTTTGTATTCATTTAGACGGTACTGGTAGATTTGCACTAGTGAAGAGGTGATGCACATTATGGTCAGCTATGAACCTTAGATGGTGGTTAGATGTGCAGGCATGACCTGGCCACCCCATGTGGTGCCTCAGCTGTAGCCCAAAATAGATGGGAGCTCCTTTGAGGATAGTGAGAGCCGCTACCGGCCACCTCTTGCACTAGCTCAACAAGGGAGAATCTGTAGCAGTTGTTCCAACCTAAATGTTCCCAGGTATCTCTGTGGACTACAGAGTACGCTATGCCAGGCCTCAAAATTTCCACTCGCCCCCTCGCAATTGGCGAGTGAAAATTGCAGGGGGGGGGCAAGTGGAATGTCAGCAATGGTGCCTCGCCGGCGGGACTAGGGATGGAACACTACCGCCACGGCAATCGCTCGCTCAACTGAATGGCAATTTATAATTAAAGGACTTTTTGCTGTAAGTATTGTGGTCTGCTGGTGACAATTTTTACTACTTCTATATTGCTCGTGGTGCCATCCGTGGTCGCTACAAGCACCCACCTGCTTTGCAGGTTTACTACTTTTCCGGTAAGGCTGGTTTCCTATTATATAACATTGCTGACCTCTGTACTGCTCGTCACAATGCTGACCTCTGCACTGCGCGTCACATTGCTGGCCTCTGCACTGCGCGTCACACAGCTGGCCTCTGTATTCTGTATTGCACCACTGACTTCTGTACTGTGCATTGTTACTGATCTTTATACTCTGCGTCACACCGCTGACCTAGCGGAGTTAAGGCCGGGGCAGGGTAGGGGTTAGGTGGGGCAACTGGTGGCGAGTAACTTTTCAGGCCTGGCTAGTAGCTTAGGACTTGAAATTTTGAGCCCTGCCCTATGCTATGGAGATGAGGAGCGGTGGAGATGTTCTGCGTTCTTAGCACACGTGTTGTCCTAGGGTGACACCATTACTCCTTCATAGTTGCAGTACTTCAGTGAGCACTGTCATCCTAGGACTGGAAGGGTGTTACTGGCAGGATCACTTTGTTAACCCCTTAGTGACCAGTGACGTCCATAGTACGTCACTGGCAGCAGGCCCGTTCAAACAGACTCCCGGCGGCTAAAGACGCCGTGACTCTGTTTACAATTGTAAAGCTGACTGTCGGCTTCTCAATAGAAGCGACCAGCCGACTCAGCTGTCGCCCGATTGCTTCTCCGGGGCGGTAAATGCTCCTCCTACGGGCCCAGGACCGGCTTCTCTGGTGTCGGGGGAAAGCTGGGGAGGTGATGGGCGAACCTCCGTTCACCGATCCCCTCCCCGTACTATGGGACCAGGAGCCATGCAGATTACATCACTTTCTTTCCCATAGCTATCAGTACTGGGCTCCTGAAGCAGATTGCACTTCAATAGCTTATTTCAAGTGTAAAGATGATACTAGGTGTCTTTTGGACCCCCCAGCATCACATTGAAGAGTACCTGTCACTGCCAATCTGCTATCACACGGGGGGCTTGCAAGTCCCCCATGTGATAACAATTAATGTACATTTAAAAAAAATATAACAGTTTTTAAAATTAATATAAAATTAAATAAATGTAAAAATAATGAAAATTCTTTTTTTTTTAAAGTCCCTCTCCCCCACGAGCACGCGCGCCGTCACATAAACACGCGTTGGTGGTGCCTACGTATGAAACCGGCAATCGTGCTACACATGTTGGGTATCGCCGTGCATGCCGGAGTGAGAGCAATAATTCTAGGGCCAATATTTACCTGTATATCCTAAGCTGATGACCTGTGGGAGCTTTTAAAGGGCCATCTATGGATTTTTTGGGGTACTGAATTTTGTTGCACTTTCACGGATGCACACAATTTTTAACCCGGGCATGTTGAGTATCTATTTACTCGTTGTAACCTCGTCTTTTTCTATTTTATTTAAAAACCTGCATATTTTTGTTTTGGGACATTTAAGGGCATTTATAACTAAATTTTTTGGGGTTTAAAAATATATGTTGCGCTAATATCGTACAACATAAAAATTTGCAACTGCCATCATATTATTCTACAGCGTCTTGGCTTTCAGAAAATATGTAGATTATATCATGGGTGCCAAAAAAAAAAAAAGACCTTGGTCACTAAGGGGTTAAAATAAAAGGAAAACCGCCTGAAAAAAGAAAACTAATGCATCGACCACATTTAAAAAATGGTAAGCTGCAATATAATAAATTTTTGTTTTGGGATATAAAATATGCGTTAACATATGTGAGAACTACCAATATTATTGTTAGTGCATGAGTTTCCCTGCTTTTGTTGTGTTATGTGTGAAATGTTTTAAGTAATGTTCTTATCTGTTATTAATTGTAAATCATATCTCACTTTGCAGAATGGTGTGGGAGGAATCTTTACTGGATAGTTTGTTAAATTTTGCTGCTACACCCAGGGGGCTTCTACTTCTTCAACAAACAGGAGCCATCAATGAATGTGTGACTTACATGTTTGGTCGATTTACAAAAAAGCTTCAGGTATGTTTACAATATATTCAGCCTCTTTACTTTCAACATTTAAAAGAGACCTGGGGAAAGACATCCTCATAAAGCATTTTAGGGCCAATTCACACCATATGTGTTGGGGCTGTGCTGGCCGTTGTTTCCAGCACAGCCCCAACTCAAGACAAGGCAGTTTGATTACAGTTGTAATCAAAATTATTCTACCACCATTGCAAATTAGGTTTATCGGAAAAATTTACAGACTTTCAGTTGTTTGCAATGAACAAATCAAACAAAAGCAATTAAAATATGTCAACACAAAGTGTTCCATGTGGTTTCCTCAAATTTAACTGAATATGCAACTGTAGTACTTAGTAGAGCACCCTTTTGCTGTTATGACATGCAGCAAACGAGATGCATATCCAGATACCACCTTCTGGTGATGTTTCTGAGGAATCTTATCCCATTTCTCATGAGCAGTGACCTCCAGTTCACTAATATTCTTTGGTTTGCTTGCTGCAACCGCTGCCTTCAAATCCCACCAGAGATTTTCTGTGGGGTTAAAGTCAGGTGACTGTGATGGCCACTGTAGAATCTGCCAGGACTGCTGTGACCAAGCTTTGGTGGAATTTGAGGTATGCTTGGGATAATTGTCCTGTTGGAAGGTCCAATGATGCCCAAGCTTCAGCCTTCTCACAGACTGCATGACATTTTCTCCTAGGATTTCCTGATACTTCAATGAATCCATCTTGCCTTCCACACACTGCAGGTTTCCAGTGCCAGAGGATGCAAAGCAGCCGCAGAGCATCACCGAGCCACAATGATGCTTAACTGTAGGCAGAGTGTTCTTTTCAGCGTATGCTTCATTCTTCTTCCTCCAGACATACTGCAGATCTATAGGGCCAAAAAATATTCCAGCTTTGTTTCATCGCTCCACAGAACAGAATCCAAAAACTTCTGTGGCTTATTTCTATGGCTTATTTACATGATTTTTATCATTTTGGAGTTTATTTTTCTTGTGCTTTTGGGCCAGTAGTGGAGTTCTGGTATGGAAACCTTCTACGTTTCGTATGCGCCTTACTGTTCAAAACTGAAACCTCAGTGCCTCTTGCCAACAAGTCTTGCTGCAGGTCTTTTGCAGTCACTCAAAGGTTTTTCTTAACCTGCCTTTTCAGAAACCTGGTTGCAGCCGTTGATGGCTTCCTTTTCTCTATGAAAATGCAGTGCCTTTGCTATCTTTTTGTATCCTGTTCCTTGTTTGTGAATGGTGATGATCTCCCCTCTCAACTTGTTTTTAAGCATTCTTAGCCATATTTCTAACATGCAGTCAAATGTGACACTCAACAAACCCCTAGCCAGTTCAGGTATTTCATGTGTTCTAGCTCAAGCTCACATGGTGCAACTACTGAAGCCCTTGATTAGTTGCATCAGGTGTACTCAAGACAACACCTGTTTTGCAAATGTATGCTCTTGTGAGGGATTCTATTCAGGGGCTGGAATAATTTTGAGACTGCAGAAGTCATTAAGTGGCATCTTTAGTTGAATTTGGGGAAACTGCTTGAAACATTTTGTGTTGACCTATTACAATTGCTTTTGTTTGAGTTGTTCGTTGCAAACAACTGAATTTTTGTAAATGTTGACAATAAACCTGACTTGCAATGGGGGTTGAATAATTTTGATTACAACTGTACCTTGCCACAGATGGGCTCGGTTCACACCACCACATTGCGATGGGAATGTGGTGGTGTGTGCTGAAAGACTGTACGGAATGCTGTACTTTTTTCAGTGCATCGGGATGCAACGTGGAACAACCGTCTCTCACCCCGATGTGCCCATAGAACTGAATTAAATCTCACTTGTATCATTTTCAATAACGTTCTAAAAAAAAAATACACAGTGCGATGTGCCAGGAATGGTGTATCTGTGTTGGGCAACGCACATCTGTCGCTTTGCGTTTAGCGCAGCGGCTGGTGTGAATTGGCCCATAGAGTAATTTGTGAGAAATGCCAATATGATTTTGGAGACTTGCCAAAGAATGCACCTTAGGATACATCAAAATTATGGAGGCATTTACAGACTACACAGTGTTCTGTGAAATGCCAGGCTTTTACTATCTGGTGGAAAGAAAAGTACTAGGGATGCACCGATACCGATACAAGCATCGGTATCGGCCGCGATACCCAGTATTTGCATGAGTACTCGTACTCGTGCAAATACTCCAAAACATAAAACGAGTACCTGTGCAGTACAGATTTTACAGTACAGTGCAACAGAATATGGCATACACCTGAGCCGAGATATCATTTGTTTAGACACCAAAAATTACTAAAATCTCCATTGATACATCATTTATGATTAGACATTTTACATTTTGGTTTATGGTTTTTGTTTATTTTTAAATGGTTACTTTTCAGGTCAGCAGATGTGAGAAATTTGGCTACGGAGTTATGGTGACACAGGTAGCAGGGACAGCTGCAGGTGCAGTAGCCCTGCAGAAATCAGGTAAATGCTGGCTATGCTAAAACATTTTTTTTTTCTTTTGGTTAGTGTCATAACAAATGCACTTTTGCTATTAAATAAAATCTCAAGAAACACTTTTTGAACACAGAACTGTAAGTTTAGTTCATTACTGTTAAATCAATGAAAAGGGGGAACTCTCTTGCCTAGAAAGTAGTATTAGCTGAGGATTTCAGTAATTAAAAAATATATATATATATTTTAGATATTTTCTTCAGTCAGCATAATATATAGTTT